TGTCCTAAGTTTGATCCTAAGAATCAATGAGAAAAAAACAAAAACCAGATGTGGTATGCAGAGACAGGAAGATGATAGGAGTTTGTAGGGGTTTGATGGTCAGCTGTTCTAGCTACCTTGGTGGCATCCAGACCAGTGAAAGACCTAGTCGCAAAAAAAAAAAAAAAAAAAAAGATGTAGAGGTAAACAGCTCCAGAGTTTATATGCATGGACATACACATACCCCCATATATGCACATGAACACATACCATGACAGCCTTTAAATGTACCTCATATATTACATAAGAATTGAAAACTCCTGATAGATAAAAGTTTTGATAACAGCATAGCAGCAAAAACAAAAATGTTTTAATTTTATCCTGCTGGAAATTGTTACAATGAGAAGTAGTTAGTAGTTTTCCTTTTCACTCCCTTAGTTTCAGATTGTCCCCAAATATGTCCACACACTACCAGAATATGCTGCCCAGCCCTATTTTGTTTTGTGTTATTGCTGTTGTGTTTTGTTTGTTTATTTATGGTGTGTGTGTGTGTGTGTGTGTTCCCTTAAGTAGATATGTGGGAGTGTGATATGTTCATAGAGGACAGAAGAGGACATCTAGCGCCCTCTCTATCATTTTGTTCCTCTTCCTCTGAGGCACGGTCTCTGTGATCTCATGCTGTCTCGGGTGACTCTAGGAGCTGGGCTTACAGGCAAGTGCAGGATACCCAGGTTTTTAAGTAGGTGCTTTTATTTTAAACAGCAAGCAACGTTAACTGTTGAGCCATCTCTCCAGCATTCTGTTTCTGTTTTGAATCATAATCTCCCATTTCCAATGTTTTTGAGTTCCTGTTAGTATAGCTATTCCTCTTGAGCCTTCTAAACATATACTAATAAAAATAATGGCTTTTAAAAATTATTTTTCTTATTTTTGAGATGTTATATATTCCCCCTTTTCCTCCCTCCAAAGCCTCCAATATGCCTCTCCTTGCTCTTATTTATGTGCCAAATTGAATTAATCAAGGAATTAATATTTTTTAGATTTTCATTTATATGACATTTTTGTTTTGTTTTGTTGTTGGTTGTTTATATGCATATTCTCTTTGCTTTTACAGTTAGTGCCCTGGAAAAGTTCAAATAGGATTTTACTAGAGCTTCATTGAGGTTGTTGGAAGGAATTAGAAGCTAGGATCAGTAAGAGGAAGGACTTTTAAGGAAAAAGAATACAAGTAGGATCATTTTCTTACTTAAACTCTAGAAATACATAGTTTTATTAAAGTAACAACGCAAATCTTTTAAGATCTTATTTAAGGCTAATTGGTATTAGCAGAATTTGATAGGGATAATATCAAGTTCTGGATAGTTTTGTATTTAATGTCAGCAGGAGCTTAGATAAGCCCCAGCGCTCTACTCTGTTAATTAATTAGCAGTGAAGTGCACCAGATACTTCCTCAACAGCAGCCACAGGATCACACAGCAGGAAGATGAACTAGAAAACAGTCTTGCAACATGAAGGACTATGTTCAGGTGCCTGTAGCCGAGCTGGAGAAACCTTATGAATTTACATCACCAGGGGAGTCATCCACATGTCTTTACCTGAGTAGGTCGAGTGATTTTATCTTATATGTTCTTGCCATGTTTATAAATACGGTATTCTCTTATTTGAATATCTAGAATAATTACTTCTGTAAATTTTATTGACATAGTTTTTTTACTACATATTGCTTTTTATGTAATTGAGTAAGTTGAAATTTTTGAGCTAATTTTCTATGTCCTTTCGTGTGTGTGTGTGTGTGTGTGTGTGTGTGTGTGTGTGTATGCGCGCACACCTATACACGCTCATCTCTATAAATAGTTAGAGAGTGCTTGCTTGTTTGGAGCTTCTCTGAGGAAGTCTCAGTGATTATTCATTCTCCACCTGTGAGGTGTACACATCACTGCAGTAAGATCTGTAGACAGCTGACGCATTTCACTTTCAAATCGGTACTTGAATTAGTGTGGAAGTTTCTGTTTGAAGCCATCAGGTCTGGGCTGGGATTCCAGTACCCTCCACTCTCAAGAGCTCTGCATTTTGAGGATGGTCAGCTGCTATGAGCCTTGGTAGAGGAGTAAGTGATCATGCTGTAAGGTCCTGCGGACAGTGCTGACCAGGTCGTGTTTGGAACATAGCAGTCACCCCTCTTTGTTCTTACTTGTTATTGAAAGTTGTCAACCCTATATGTCATGTGCTGATGATTAATTTACAGCAAAGTGAGGATCAGGATTATTATTTGCAGCCCAAATTCAAATTTACCTTTCAGGTTCTCTCAGCACCAGTGTATACTATCAGAAAGTGCCCCTGTAAGCAAAGTTAGCTTGCTGAGAATCTCACAGGTAATACCACAATAAGTAGGATACTTAAGGCACTAAAACCTGTGTGCATCTGCATTGCCAGTCTTTTGTCATGACAAGTTGAGTTCACTGTATCTGATTTCCATTAGAACTGGTAAAGTGTGTGCCTCAGTCTTCTCACCAGATTATTGGCTTCATCTTCATCATAGCCCCTCAGTGTCTGGTGCTGACATGTTCACATTAGATTTTACTTTATTAGAAAAGAATTTTTGCTTTGTCCTAATTTCACTGTCTGTGTCCTCTCCAGTACTCAAATGATTTTATTGTTTTGGGGTTCAAGTATTATTCAAATATTTTTTATGTTAATCTAAAATTTCGCTTTGTAGTATTTGGAATTTTGTTTATTAGAAAAACTTTTTGAACAGTAGATAACATTTGCTATTATCAAATATACCAAGTAGTATGTATTGCTGAGCTGTTTTTATGACAGTTTATAAATTCCTCAAAAGATACACTTCTTACATTTCTTGTATCTGTGGTGTAGAGAAGAGCCCAGAGTTCTAATTTTAGGTAGTGGATTCATCCAGCCATTACTGTTGACCAAGTTACTGATTTCTTTTGCTACAGAATTTTTAACTTTAAAATTTTTATGTTTTTATTTTAAGTTTTTATTTTTAACTCTGTGTTTGCCTGCTTGTGTGTTTGTGCCTTATGTGCATGTTCACTACCCATGGAGACCAAAAGAGGATGTTGTGTCCCTAGGACTGGAGTTACAGATGGTTTGAGCCACCAGATAGGTGCAGGGAATAGAACATGGGTCCTTTAGAAGAATAGCCAATGGTCTGAGCCACTAAATCATCTCTCTAGCCCCACCCTTACAGATTCTTGCCTCCATGAAGTAGTGATGATAATCAAGTCTTGTTTGCTAGGAATGCTGAGTAATGTCTACACAGTGCCTTCTGATTGTGAAGGCTAAGAGACAGTCATCTTCAGATGATCAACAGCTCTTGACTGTTTCATCCTTGCTTTGATGGTCTCACTTTACGGCAGACCTGAACTCAAGCTTTATACTGATTTTTTTGATCTGTGCTGAACACCAAGTTGACACTTGGTAAATAGCACATACCTCATAAAGAATTTGGGATAAGCTAGGCGGTGGTGGTGTGTGCCTTTAATCCCAGTACTCTGGAGGCAGAGGCAGGCAGATCTCTGTGAGTTTGAGGCCAGCCTGGTCTACAGAGTGAGTTTCAAGGACAGGCTCCAACCAAAAAAAAAAAAAAAGAAAAAAAAAAAGAATTTGAGATCTTCAAAAAATTGCTTCTTGATAAAATTGCAAAGGTTCTGCTTACTAAGTAACTTTTCTTCTATTTCAAGTGTTCTCTTGTACTTGACATTGTTTCTGAACCCAAGTAAATGTAGTGACATAGACTTTCTACCTCAGCTCATAAATCATGGAAATTCTTTTATCTCAGGGCCACTATTCTTATGAAGTTACTGGTATTCAGGGTAAGAAAACTGATTGATCCATCCAATTCACAGTTTTTTCCAAGTAGCTGACATGGCCTTACCCAGGACATGTATCTATTCATACAAGAATTGGCGTGAAGTCTCCTAGGTCATTTAGGCCTTTTTCTGTTTATTAGTCTTATTTCTGTGGAGGTTTATAAGACAGACGTTTTGTTTATTTGTTGCAGATTCTCCAATCTTTGTTCCATTTGCTTTGTAGTTTCAAAGTTCATCTATTTTTGACATATTTTCACAGTCTAGAATATATCCATTTTAAAATTAAACTATTTTAGAATATGCTAAGTTTGTGAAGTATAAAGAATGGTTAGTAACAGTGAGGATATAGGTTTGAAGGGTATTATAAAACATTAGGGCATTTTTATATTTAATCAATATCAATGAACTCTTGAAAGCATCAGTGTAGAGATATTGCTAAAAATGAGCTATAAATACCATCCCTGTGTTGGAGCCACGTCAGGTACTTGGAAAGAACGAGACTGGGAAACCTGCAAGGAAGTCGTGGGAAAAGGTCCAGGTAGATGTGACTTCCTAACTAGGTGACAGAAGTAGAAAGTACAGCAACAAAGGCATTGTTGAGGTAGAGGCACACGGTCATTCAACAGATATCTCAGTGCCTACTGTGCCTTGTTCCAGTTGCTTGGGATTTATCATTGAGCAAAAGAATAATTTCTGCCTTCATCTGAGCTTGTATCCCGGTGAAGGGGGGCTAATGATAACCAATAAGCACACTGGGTAAGTTATTTAGTATGTTAGGTGGTAACTTCTTTTAGCAAAAGGGAGTAGAAGAGAGAACGGGTTGTTCTAGGCAGAGGAAACAGGAGAGGCTCCTCACTTTAGCAGTGTCACTGTTACGACTGTAGTAAAGTGCAGATGAGACACAAAGGTAGAGAATAAAGGTAAAGGCAGATGTGACCCATGAATTTACTTAACAGAACAAATTTGATGTGTGTGGGGGCAGTTGCTTATTGTTCGTGCAGTCTTAGCCAACTGCTGTTTTTAGAAGAAGAGGGAGAAAAGTTAACTTCCTTATTTTTGAATTTGTGTGCCTTTTCACTTACTGGTAGTTTAAACTTATCTTTAAATGGGCAGTGAGTATTTGGAAACATGAATTACTGGGTCATTTTATGATATTAATCTTTATACTCTTATTTTTTTTTTTAATAGGAGTGTGTTGCTGCTGCTCCGCTTTGCGTCCTCGCTACAAACGCCTGGTGGACAACATATTCCCTGAAGATCCAAAAGTAATGTGATCTCCATCTACTGACCCTTCTCTTTGCTGACCCATTCTGCCCCTGCTGACCTCCCTAAGGTTTCCCTCATTTCATTTCTCTTTCATCCCCACGTATCATCACATGAACTATTATACTTTTCTTAGTTTTCACATGACTCTTGCTCACTTCTCTTTTTCAGATGTAAGCTACAAAGCTGAAATGGTAGATACATGGTGTCCTTTTTCATTTAGATAGTTTACTAACACTTATCAAACACTTAGGATCATGTGCCATATAGTATGTACTCAGGATGCAACTGTGAACACAGAATGGTTTCTGCATTCAATAAGCATATAGATAGAATACCAGCAATTTTAATATACGGAGGAAAATGTGATAAAGAAATGAAGTGAAGGATGTAGCTTGAATAGATCAGAACGATGGCCATTTTGGGATTAGGCGAAGAAGGCAAAGGAAATGAAGTCTAACACTTTCTCCAACATGCCCTCTTTTAGCTCATGGTGCTTATCTTCACTGTTGTACTTTAGCATATTGTCATCTCATTCATAAATACTGAGTGAGTGCCAACTACATGCCAGGCACTATGACAAACATCACAGAAGCCATGCTCGGCAAAGAACTGCATTTGCTCAGTGTAACAAAGCTCATGAGAACTGAGACAGGTCCTACCATGAGCTGAAAGATGTTCCTCACGATAGAAAAATCCCACCCCATCTCCAGAGAGTTTGTGGAGGGCATGTTGGAGAAAGTATGTGAAAGGTGTTTAAATAAAGCTGAGAGCTAGAGGAAAGGACTACTAGGCGGTAAGCCGAGTGGAAGAAATCATGACCAGCAGAATTGCAATCTGATTGCAGAGTAGCAGATTTTAGCAAAATAAAGTGCAAAATATGCTTGTGTGTCTTCACTGAAGAGGCGGCCAGAGGCTGTCAGGTAGCCACATAGAAAAATTATTAATTGTAGATTCATCATCTAACCTATTTTCCCATCTTCCTTTTCACCCCATCCAATAGATGTAAGCATAGTTACTTAGACTTTACCTGACAAGAAATTGAGGGTGATGGTTGATTCTCTTACAATAAGATAAGAAGGATCATTGAGCTGCATATGGTGGTGCCCACCATTAGTCCCAGTATTTGAAAGCAGAGGCAGGCAGATTTCAGTGAGTTCAAGGTGTGCCTGGTCTAGGTGGTGCATAACACAACACTCAGGGCTATGTAGAGACCCTGTCTCAAAAAATAAACAAGAGAACCATTGGAATCATATTTAGAAGATAAAGACTTATTAACACACACTACAAATGTGTTGTTGATACTAATTAAATACAATTCTGAATATGCTTTAATTGATAAATTACAATGGATTTTTATGATACTAGCAAATTTTGAATAGTTTAGAAAGCTGTTTGTAGGGGTTTACTAGGCAAGCTTTGGGTTCAGTCCTCAGCTCTGGAGATGAGGAAAAAGCTATATGTATGTTCACTGTTGTAGATATAAAGTACAAACTACATATAACATCCAGTGCATTTAAATTGAAGCACGTTTGTTTGAAAAACTTTTAGTAAAACATATTTTATTGTCTTACATACTGCCAGCTACTTCTCTATAAATGAAAGTTCTAGAGGCAGTTATTGTTTTTGAAGGTCCTTTAAGCACTTTGCCTTAGCAGGATATTTCTTTAGCTTTTAAAATGTCCTGATCACATAGATTTTAATATTAGCACCAAAGAGTTTATACCCAGACAGTTTTAGTAGAAATGTGGACTAATTTACAGTCCTCAAAGATGAGATGTAAATCAGGCAACACTTTGAATGAACAAATGAATAAATAAATAAGAAAATTATAGATTGTGTATTTCTTGTTATTGTTTTCAGGATGGCCTTGTTAAAGCTGATATGGAGAAGCTGACATTTTATGCAGTGTCTGCACCAGAGAAGCTTGATCGAATAGGTGCCTATCTGGCAGAAAGGCTGAGCAGGGATGTTGTCAGGCATCGTTCTGGGTAAGAACACTAAGTGCGGCTAATAATCTCTTATCTTTGGAACTTATTTCTAGGTGAAGTTGTCTTGTAAATTTTTGCACTAGGTAGTCAGGCAAAAACAATATACAGAGGACACAATCTTGCAACAATATGCAAAGAAAAGCATGAGACCCTGTAGTTGCTGTGGCTTCTTTCTCCTGTGTTCATGTTTTATGCAGGGACTCATTTTATGAACCATTGCTGCTAGCTATAGCATTTATCTGTTTCGTTAACTTCTAGTGGAAAATAGTTTTAAAGGTGTGATACTGTGTTTAAAAATCGGTGTCTAAATTGAAAACAAACCAAGATCTGTTTTCAGGTGGTTTTGACACAGCTTCAACCTTTCCTTTTAGAGGAGTGAAAGTGAGTTGTGTCAGGCTGAGATTGTGGTGTCCAGAATATGGAAGCATCCAGACTTGGGAATGTCCTGTCTGTTCCTGTGCCTGTTGATAAAGGAGTCCCATCTTAACCATTCTCTACTTAGAAAAGTTAGAGTTTTGGAGTTTGTATTGAAAATACTTCCTATTGTGACATTTTATCATCCTGGTTTTTTAGAGTACTCTATTCTCCGAGTGACACATTGGCTTGTTGTACCTCTGCTTTGTCACTTCTTAGGACATGTCAGTGGTTTTGTACAGGTAGTTTGATAGTTGATCATTAAAAGTTAACTAAAATGGAATCTAAATTTTATTATATAAAATCTTTTAAACTTGTTTTATAAAGTGAATTTTATTGAGATATTCCCTTATATTGATTTGTTGTTGCTGGCACTATTTTATCTATGAGTATAATTTATAAATATTCTAATTACAAATATAAGTAAAATATGTTAGAGATAGAGAGATGAATTGTTGTAATAAATATTTAGAATATATACAAATTAATATGGTTAAAAGCATGAAAAGTGTTCATGGTGTCCAAGGCAGATTACACAAAGGTAGTGTCATGGTAGCTTGATGTTTCAGGAGGAAGTAGAGTAGTGCAGTCTATTTGGTGTACTTCTCCTTTAGGACTTGTATATCTAAAACTAGGTTTTACTTAGTTTACTTTGCCTTTTTATGTTCTGTGCATCTAATTAAGCCTAATTATTCTAGTGAAAAGAACTTAGAGGATTTAAGAGTGCTGGACATTTTTGACATTGTTTTTTCTTGAATTTAGATATGTTCTAATTGCTATGGAAGCGTTGGACCAGCTTCTTATGGCCTGTCATTCTCAGAGCATCAAGCCATTTGTAGAAAGCTTCCTTCATATGGTAGCAAAGCTCCTGGAATCAGGGGAACCAAAGCTTCAAGTTCTTGGAACAAATTCTGTAAGCTAAGCTATTGTTTTCTCATTAAGCTTAATCAGTGCATCTAGGATTAATCTCTTCTTAGAATGACTATTTGATCAAAGGCAATTTCCCAGTCTGGGCATTTGGACAACTAGTACAGAAGGCAGTGATTAACACATACTGTCCCTGGTGTTGTTTGTTGCTCTTCATAGAATCTGTGATTATTAATCTAGCGTCGTGGAACACTTGCCTCTCAATGAGTCTATTCCTGTCAGTTTTATTTTCTCTGACTTAACCATTACAGTGCTTAATTTGTATACTACTGTTTTACTTGACTGCTTTCCCCAAAGCAAGAGCTTTATTGAGCAATGTCTGATTTATCATTAACAGTTATGCAATTATCATATGACTTGACAATTACGCTGCTTAGCTTATATCACCAGGGTGGAAAATCTATGTCTACACATAGACTTGTAAACCAGTGTGCATAATAGCCAAAAAGTGAAAAAAAAAACTCCTTTATGTACATGTTTAGATGAATAGATAAATTAGAATGTAGTGTGGTGTTTTATTGTGGTTTTGTTTTTGTTGTTGTTGTTGTTGTTGCTTTGTTTGCTTGTTTGTTTGTTTGTTTGTTTTCCTTAAAGCTTCTTGGCATTATAGGCTTTCTACATGCCTCTAGACCAATGTCTATCCAAATCCTTATTTTTAAAATTCTTCATCTGTTCTTAATAAAAGTATTTTATCAGATATGTGACTTGCAGTATTTTTTCCTAGTTCTTTAGTTTGTTTTATACTTTATTGATGGTTTGCTTTGAGTCACTGAAGTTTTTAATTTTGATGAAGTTTAGATTTTTTTAAATTTTTTTTCTTATGTGCTTTTAATATTCTTTATAAGGAATTATTGCCTAATCTTTAGTCTTGGATTTGCCCCTAAGATTTCTTCTAAGGCTTTTATAGTTCAGTTCTGTTATCTACTTCAAGTTATTTTCATATGATTGCATTTAAGTTAGGGGTTCTATATTATGTGTATATTCACTCAGATAGCCCACTATTGTTTGGGGTATCTTTTTCTCCCTAGTACTTGGCTATGAAACCAACATTTGTGTTTACCTCCTTAACACTTCTGAATTGTTTCTACTCACTACGTTTTTTTAAAACATAGTTTTTAAATAAAAATGGAAAATAGCATGCTGTGATAATGAAAATAAGTGAAGTTTTAGTCTTTAATTTCTGCTTTCATTTTATATTTTCAGTCTTTCTGAGGAAGTTTTAAGTTATTCAGCCTATGGGAATATTTTGTATTCCCACCCATAGTGTCCTAAAAACTACCAGAATTTCATGACTTGTTGTTTAGACATGATCTTAATTACAGTTCTATTGATGTCAAGAGACACTGTGACTAAGGCAGTTTATAGAAGAAAGTATTTAATTGGGGGCTTTCTTATAGTTTTAGAGATTAGTCCATGATTATCATGGCAGGAAGCCAACAGGCATGGCCGTGGAGCAGTAGCTGAGACCTTTATATCCTGATCTACAGGCAACAGACCTGGGCTTTTGAAACATCAAAGCCCACCCCAAGTTACACACCTCCTCCAACAAAGCCACACCTCAAACAAAGCTTTACTACCTAATCTTTCCCAACAGTTTTCTAACCAGGGACTAAGCATTCAAACATGAGTCTGTGGGGAACCATTCTTATTCAAACCACGACAGGTATAAGTTCAGATAAAAGAAGAGGTGATGTAGGTTGGGATGCACTGTGGATCTTTGTCCAGTTGGCCTTGTGTTGCATGTGCTAGCCTTGTAGTCTTTGCAGCTTAGCTAACCTTTATCTCAGTTTCTCATCTAGGAAATGAAAACTCAGTTTTGTCTGATGAGGTCTCTGGGTGTATGTGAAGCTCCCAAAGCATGGCATATCAGTACAAACGTTAGAATATGTAATAGTATAATTCATTCAAAACCCCATCATGATTTTGTCCTTTTGTCTCAGGGATAAATAGTGGGTATTTCCAGATGCAGTTGGTGACATGATGGGTTTAGTTTTGGCCATGATAGCTCCTAGAGGTTTCTCCTATTTCCTTTACAATTAGATGAAAAGTTTAGGGGAAATGGCTTAATAGCTAGGGGGAGGGCCACAGTGTGAGTTCCCAGAAGTTTCTTTACTTGTAGCCAGCAATGCCATTAGTATTACATTAATGAGTCATTTGGGCAAAAGACAAAAACCCTCCTAACCCACCTTTAGTGTATATTAAATCAAATCATCTTGAAAGTCTAATTTTAATTTTGGAGTGGTGTTTAGTATGTTATATCATCAAATATGATGGATGTTGAGTCATTATTTTCAATATTTATTTATGGTATTTGTATATTTTATTCTAATTTGTGGCATTTATCTCTTTATGATAATGATCCAGTATGGCAATTATAGACAAAATTTACTTAGGTTCTCCTTTTTGTCAGAAATTGTGCTAGGAAAAAAAAAAAAGACATGAAATTGGGAATGGGTATAGGGGAGAATTAGGGGTGGATCTCGGAGGAGTGAATGGAGAATGTGATTAAAATATATCTAATTTATATAAAATTCTCAAAAAATTAATAAAATTTATTAATCACTAAATCAAAAAAGAAATTATATCAGAAACTTATTCTTACTCCTTTTTACTGTAAATCACTTCAAAAATAAGTATAGTTATTTAATTATACCCATATATACATTGTTTCAAAAAATGTTTTAAAATATTCATAAAATAATTTTAAATAGATACACTTTAAGCATTCCTAATCAGAAATCTGAAATGCACCAGAACCTTCAACTTTTTGAGCTCCGTGTTAGAATTTTCAGATTAAGGATGTTCTATGGCAAAGTTGAACAAATACCGTATGCATTCAGTGCAACTATTCTGAGATCTGAAACATTCAGGTTCCAAAGCTGAGTAAAGAATAACTTTGTGATCAGGCCTGGAGAGATGGGCTAGTGGATAATAATGCATATTGCACAAGTAAAAGGATTGAAGTTCAAATCCCTAAAGCCCATATAACAGGCCTGGTAGGGTCTCGTGTGCCTGTAATCACAGTGCTGGACAGGGCTATAATAGGAGGCTTTCCTTGTGGCTTGCTGGCTGCCAGCCTTGCTCCAAATTTAGTGAAGAGTCTGCCTGCAGAGAACAAACAGAGGGTGATAGGACACCACACCCACACAGACACTCTCCCCTGGCCTTCATGCACACACATGGTTTCGTTTACATACACTCACATAAACAAACTGGAAAAAAAAACTAGAGCATAGTTTGTTAAAAATAGGTACATAATAGTTATGAATGTCAACACTTTGCAACATTGGTTCGAGTTTATTTTGTTTGTTCTTTTAGATAAACAATATGGTGTATACTAGGCTCTTTAAATATATTACAGAATTTGGTTCAAATTAGGAAATAATATTCCATTTTTATGTGGGAAGAATTCCAGTCAATGCACAAAAAGAATGTGGTACCCTTAGGAGGAGTCAATTCTAGCTCTTGCTCCAGAACTTGTGTTTATAAAACCTGTGTTATAAAAGTGCCCCATCAGTTTTGTGTATTGTGCCTCAGGGAAGGTGTAGATCATTTTCATGTTTTTGCTTGGCTGACCCTTGCCACTATTTCATCCCTCATCTCTAATCTTAATCTTTTTTTTTTTAAATACTGTTGAAGGATATCCAGAGAGAATAGCCAGTGGAATTAGTCATTACAGTAAAACACTGGCCCTCAACAAGGGACATGCTTCCTCCCTGTCTCTCCTCCCATGTTTGACAAGTGTTTGAAAGCAGTTTGGTTTATTGTACATTGGAGACAGAAGTTTAGGTGTAATTTAGGAGATGGGAACAATGCTCAATCTGCAGTCTCTGGAGAAGGTCCTGCAGCAGAAGCTTTATCCAGCCCCTAATTTTAACAGTGTTTAAAATGAGAAATCCTACATCTAAAGTACAGCTGCTACTACCTTAATTACGCCTTTTGAAACACATCTATTTTCTGTTTTAAATTTTATGATTTATCTCTTCAGTTTTTTATTACTGTATGGTATATGTATGTGTGGAGGCATATGAATGTGTGTATGAGTTTCCACACCCATGCATGTGGAGGAGAGAGTTAGACATGGCTATCTTTCTCTAGTCTTCACCCCCATTTTAGAATTAGTCCAAGAGAGCTTCAGGTTTGAAGAATTAGAATGTCTGTGAACAGGGGAGGCTCCTCTGGAGTGGCCTCATGTTTTATATTCAGTTCTTTATACTCAAGGGCAATTGGAGCTGCCTGCAATAAACGGTTACTTAGATTATCATTGTATGTATAACTTTCAATAAATAATGAAAGATTGAAAGTTTATCTTCTGAAATGTCTCCCTTATTTTAAGGAAGGTCTGAGTGTCCATTTTTATTTCCAATCTCTTCTGTTATAAAAGTATTATATTTATAATAGCAAATTTGAAAAATGCAAAAAAGTGTAAAAGTAAGTTTCTCAGGAAATTAACCGGGTTGCAAGGCTCTATTGATTTAGAAAGTTGTCTTATTAGTTTCCCAAAAGTCCATTATTATAAAGTTTGTTCTGTACATATGCAGTGTGTGGTGTTCCATGTGTTCCATTTGCTTATTTGGATGTTGCTCGTTAGTGTAATCGATAAAGAGGATAAATGTGTTTACACACTTTAAAAAAGTGACATATTTTGTTTGTATTGTTGTTTTTGTTTTTTAGTTTGTCAAATTTGCAAACATTGAAGAAGACACACCATCCTACCATAGACGCTATGACTTCTTTGTGTCTCGGTTCAGTGCTATGTGTCACTCCTGTCATGATGATCCAGAAATACGAACTGAGTATGTACTGTTCACTTCGTGACTTCTCTCACGTAACTAATAGTACAAGTTTTTGGATATTGTGCTTCTATACTAGATAATGATTATCAAAAGGTGTGAGCGATGCTCATGAAGTATTTTTCCGTTGTGGTGGGAACACAGAGCATTCGGCTGAAGTTTCAAGATGAGAGTGGTTGAAATTCAGAATCCTTACTTTTGCCACGAATGTCCCGTCACCCATCCTGCCTCGGTTTCTGTCATCCTTTCATTTTCTCCTATTTTCTCTATCTCAGCCAAATGGATCTCCTTGCTGTCCCTTGAACACGCTAGGCATGCTACTCTTAAGGGCATTTAAAAAGATAAGTTCTCAGTCTAGGGCAGTTCCCAGGGACTCCTGACTCAACGTATTTGGGGTTTCCTCACTTTACTCAAGGTTCTCCCCATCCCACCTCCTAGTTATTCCTTATCTCTTCATTTTTTATTCTGATTTTTTTTGTTTGTTTGTTTTTAATTCAGGACCTCTGTGCAATCCTGGTCATTCTGGAACTTGCTGTGTAGACCAGGCTAGCCACAAACTCACAGTGATCCTGTCTCTGCCTTCGGAGTGCTGGGGTTAAAGGTGTGCACCACCACTTCTACCCGCCTTCTTCTTCTTAGAGAGCAGTGCAGGAGGGCAGGGGCTTTGTTCTGAGGACTTCTATATCGCTAAGCACTTTCACAAGTGTCCTGCTCATAGTGGACTCTCATTATGTACTTGTACTTTTTGAATGCATATTACTGACCTTTTGTCACTTTGAGGTTGTCCAGACAGCTGAGATGCACAATAAAAGTTTATAGTTTCAATTAGTAAAAATCTAGACTGTGATCTCAAATATAGGTCATTTCTATATAGAAACAAAAGGCTTTTAGTTAAAGTTAAAGTCAAAATGATGTTGATAAATAATACTAGTTTGAGCATTACTGGTAACCTAATTCAGAATGATTGTGGGAATTAGGTAATGAAGTCATTATATTCTCTTTGAAGCAAGCAGTGTACAGAATTGTAACCAGGAATTTCAGGCCCCCAACTGCACAGTGAAAGCAAGTATGGAGTTATCTGTCTTTGAAGAAGGAAGGCTGAGGAGAGACTTTAACAATTGTTTTTTCAGATGTGATTTCCCTAACTCTGTAATTAATTCTCCCTCAATATGATCTAGGGTATTTGGAGTCTTGCTGTATATCACTATGTGATATCTTAGATAGAAGGATACTGTAATTGCCATATACCTTCCTGGCCATGTCATCAGTACTAAAATGTTATTTCCTAAGGGACATTTTAATAGTGACTTTGAAAGTTTTTGATGATAATATAAGAAAATGTATTTGAGTGAGAAATTCAAATGCAAGATTACCTTATTTTTAGGTATTTATTGCCCCCTAGTGGAAAACCTTGTCTTTTGGTCATACCTTCAGATTTTCTATTTTTAATATTTTAAGTATACACATAAGATGTTATTAAATTAATTAAAAATTTTCTTACTGTATTCCCCCACCTCTCTCTTCCCTCCAGTTTCCCTCCACCTCTCAAAATCATTGCCTTTTTCTTTTCTCTTCTCTGCCTCCTTTTTTGCTTTTTTTTTTTTTTTTCCTTTGGTTTTTCGAGAAGGGGTTTCTCTGTGTAGCCCTGGCTATGGAACTTGCTCTGTAGACCAGGCTGGCCTCCACCTCACAGAGATCCACCTACTTCTGCCTCCTGAGTGCTGGGATTAAAACCATGCACCACCACTGCTCAACACGGCCTCTTTTCTTTAATTATGATTGTTTTATATTTGTGTGTTTGTGTGTGTGTGTGTGTGTATACACAACCTGCTGAGTCCATTTAATGTTGATTATGTGTATTTTTTTAAGACTGACTAATTGGGGGAATCATCTTCCTTTCAGCCTTCATTAATTGACTGTAGCTCTTTAAGGATGGGACCCTGTGCACACTGACATTAACTGGTGCTGTCATTGTTCAGGTCTTCTTTAGGAAGCCATATTGTGATTTCCTAGGTACATCTTCCCTGAGTCATACTGAAGACACAATTTAATAGCAGGCATCCTGGATCCTGGTTCCTCTATCTCTTACCATTTTTGTCCCCCCTCTTCTGTGATGTTCCTTAAGCCTTAGGTGTTGGGATTATGCTGTAGATTTTTTGAAATATTTTATATGCAGATGCAAGTGTTTGTAATACTTTTTCATACTTCTGGATCTTTCTTGTGTGTGTGGGGGGTATCTGAAGTTGCAAATTGCCAACTTTTTATTTCAATTGCTATGAAACAAACGAGTAAATTAATATTCTTGAAGTTAGGCATACTGTTTTCCTCTTGTTACTTGAATAAATGTCTATTTGTTCAGGTTATTTACATTTTCTTTCAGTTTCTAACTTAGGTTCTTATTTTTTATCCCTTTACATTTTAGTAAAACCCAGTCATACAGAGTCTTCAGACTTCGGCAGTAGGAGATGAGGCTCTGAACTATCATCTTCTCCCCTTCCTTACACACCCAGCTTTAATTTCTTTCTCAAAAAAACAAACACATACAGCAAAACCCCCTAAAAACAAGAAAAATTAAAACATCAAAACAAAAAAACTTCAAGCTGTAATCAAATCCCGATGCACACATGCAGATGCATACACACACACACACACACACACACACACCAACAAGGACAACAACAAAAACCAAACTGTGTAGTCCTTTATATATTGGTCAACTGCTTCTGGGCAATAGGCTTGTACTGGAGAGGTTGATATACTCAGTATCCCCCTATTGGAAAAAAATGATTTTCCCTCTCCCTGCAGGTATAAGTGACAGTTTAGTTGTTAACTTTTACCCTAGGGGGCGAGGTTTTCATCCATCCATCCATGCATTTATTCATTTTTTAAGAATATAACAAAAATAATATATAAGGTAAAGCAAAAACTATCATATCAGAGTTGGACAAAACAAACCAACAGAAGGAAAAGAGCCCAAGAGAAGACACAAGTATCAGAGATCCCACTTACTAACACACTTAGGAATCCCATAAAAACTCTAAATTGATTAGCCAGCACTCCCAACTATTTTTTCTTTTTTCTTTTCTTTTTTTTTTTTTAGGACTTTCTCTAGCTTTTTTCTTTCTCTTCCAAAGCTAAGTATATTTTTAAACACACTGTAAACCATTTAGAGGGTTTTTTTTTTGTCTGAATCTGTCTTTACTGTATATGTCTATCTTTTTCTGAGCACATGAGTTTTTAATCTGCTAGCAGCATGACTAGGATTAAAGCTGCGGCTTTGGCAGCTGGCTCTGTCCCATTCCTTAGCTTTCTGTGAGTCTAGCTTCATGGCAGAGATACTGTCAGGAGCCATGTTTATTGCCACAACTTTGTGTAGTTTTCAAGGCCCATGCCACTACCAAGAAGCCTGCACAGGCTACTCATAAACACCATTGAAATGTTTGGTGGCAGGGCCTCTTAAAAGAGCTGCAAGATTTTGTCACTAATGCTGAGTCAGGAAGCCCTTCTTAAAGGAACTGTGCTTCTGCATACCTCTAGCAAACAGAGCCCAACAGACAGTGATGCTACCAATAAGCCTTGCTTGACTCTCTTCTTTTATGTCTAGAATCCCTTCCCAAGTTCTCACAAGTTTAATGTGGATATAGTTGCTGAACATTGGGTGCCATTTGTAGATGGAAATTTCTGTCCTGCCTGGTCCCATAGCCATTCAGTTTCAAAGAAACACAGAGGCTTATATTAATTATAAACTGTTTTGGCTTATTAGCTTAGGCTTATTATTAACTAGCTCTTACAACTTATATTAATCCATAATTCTTATTTATGTTTAGCCATGTGGCTTGGTGCCTTTTCTTAGTAAAACATTCTCATCTTGCTTCCTCTGCGTCTGACTGATGACTGTGTCACTGCCTTTCCTCTTCCCATAATTTTCCTAATTTGGTTGCCTTGCCTATACTTCCTGTCTGGCTACTAGCCAATCAGCATTTTATTAAGCCAGTACGAATGACAAATCTTTACATTGTACAAGAGCTTTATCACACAGCAGATATCCTTCATCCCTCTGACTTTATTTATACTCTTTCCACTTTTTCTGAGAGGTTACCTGAGCTTTCAGGGGAGGAATATGATCAAGACACGTCATTTAGGGCTGTGTGTTCCAAGGTCTCTCACTCTTTACTTGTTATATAAGTGTAATAGAATATCACTAGGAGTCATTTTATCACTATATTTCTGTTTTGTTTCCTTTAAAAAAAAATTATTATTTGGTTTTATCCTAGGTGCCTGAGCTATCTAGTTTCAAGTTCTTGCAGTGTTGGGTGTGGGTTCCATCTCCTGGAGTAGGCCTTAAGTCAAATCCGTTATTGGTTTTTTATTCCACAAGCTTTGTGCCACCATTACCCTAGCATATCTTGCAAGTAGTACACTATTGTAAATAAGGGGTTGGTGGCTGCATTAATCCTTTCTTGATGTATTTCTTAGCAGATGTGTTGCCGCTTCTTTATCACAATTCAATAGAGTTTCTCTACAACTGTCAGCTATAATGGGCATCCTCCTCCTCATCATCATCATCATCATAGTGACTGACATACAAATAGTGTATCTCTGTTGGGTCTTTACTGTGAGGCAGTCCTTGTTCAGACATGTTATGTGAATTATCATTCAACTATTCCTGACACTCTTAAGCTTACATGATACAAATGTTCAAATTGACTCATGGAAAAAGTACATTGTTTTGGGGATCAAGACTAGAATGTACTACTCAGAACAGGTGTTAGATCTGGATTAAATGCTAACTGTGTAGGTTAAGTGGCTTTTGATCATCACCAACATGCACTAATGCCCTATAACAGAGTCACTACCATCCCCTGCTCCTCTTAGGCTATTGTCCTTTATATAACCTTGAGCTTGTCTTCTTCACCCAGAGAGTGGCATCAGGTATGTATAGCAGACACCCTATATAATGGTGTTTGCTTACTTGTGATATCTTAGTTAGGGTTTGCATTACTACAGTGAAGCACTATGGCCAAAACTAAGTTGGGAAGGAAAGAGTTTATTCATCTTAAACTTCCATATTGCTGTTTGTCACTAAAGTAAGTCAGGGCAGGAACCTGGAGGCAGAAGCTGATGCAGAGGCCATGGAGGAATGCTATATTGACTTGCTTCCCATGGCTTGCCCAACCTGCCTTCTTATAAAACAGACCAGGGATGGCACTACCCACAATGGGCTGGGTCTTCTCACATTGATCACTAATTAAGAAAATGCTTTGTAGCTGTATCTAATGGAGGCATTTTCTCATTTGAGGCTCCTTCCTCTCTGATTACTCTAGCTTGTGTCATTAAAACCATCCAGTAAATGTGATCAGTGTAGTAACCCTAACCCTAACTCTATAAAGTAAGGAAGCTTGTATAGACAGAGCTTTGAAATAGGCAGAATTTGTCTTTAAATTTTCCACTTCACTTCCTGCTCAGTGTCTTATTCCTGTCACCTCCAGTTTCGCAATCTGCTGCTCTTGAGTGTCTTGTAATATCCCCATAGGTTTGTAAAGTATTGCCACTCCTTTCTATACATGTTCTCTTCTTTAAACCTATTTATTATATCTGAGAGACAGTGTTAGGTGGGCTGACCAGAACTGTAATCGGTGTTCATTTCAGGTGGCAGAAAGAAAGGGAGAAATTGAAATTAGGATAAAAGAGGTAATTTAAGGAGAAGAAATACCTTGTAAGAAAGATGGGAAAATTCTACTTGAGTCTTTGTGTCCTTCTGGAGGCTATGAGAATCTAGTCACTTCTCTTTCTTGAACCTACAGTTTTCTTTTTGCCAAGAAGCGTGAAGACAACCATGAGGAAATTGGGCTTATGAATTGTGATAGGAGTTTAGGGCAACACTGGTAAATTACAGGTCCTGTGTGCATGTTTGTAAACACAAGTTTTAAATGAAGAAGCTTCCCTTTCTGAGAGGTGAGGGGGTTCTTGGGGCAGAGTGGGCAGAAGCGCAGTGCTCACTAGGGGGAGTGAGCACTCAGTTTTGAGCCCTCAAACCAGTAGCTTATTACCATCATCTTATAAGAAGCTAGGCTTCTGATTGCCTTTTTATTAGCAGATAAGATATCTAATAGATATTTCTATAGTTTACAGAATTTTAAACTTCACTGATTTATAAAGATGGTGTTGAAAGTCTCTTGAATATATCTTTCAGTGTTCACTTTAGATTTCTCTTTTCTTTTTAAAACCATCTTATTTTACATACAATCCCAGGTTTTTCTTCCTCCTTCTCTCCACCCTACCCCCCATCCACTCCTCAGAGAGGGTAAGCCCCTCCCCCCATGGGGAATCAGCAAAGTCTATCACATCACTTGAGGCAGGACCAAGGGCCCCTGTATCTAGGCTGAGCAAGGTATCCCTCCATAGGGAATGGGCTCCAGAGAGCCTCTTCATGCACTAGGGATAAATACTGGTTCCACTGCAGGTGGCCACACAAATTGCCCAAGCCACACAACCGTTACCCACATTCAGAGTTGTAATCAGATTGATAACTACCTTAATTGTCATCATAGAACCTTCATCCAGTAACTTATGGAAGCAGTTGCAGAGATCCACAGCTAAGCATTGGGCCGAATTCCTGGAGTCCAGTCATAAAGAGGGAGGAGTGATATTATGAGTAAAGGGACCAAGACCGTGGTGGGGAAACCCACAGAAACAGCTGACCCGAGCAAGTGGGAGCTTACTGACTTTAGACTGACAACTGGGTAACCGGCATAAGATTTTTGAGATTTTATTTTCTTACACATATTACATGTTACCTTAAAATATTTTATGGTTGAGAGAGCAATATTGACATACATTCTCTTAGGTAGACAAACAAACTTGTTTAAATATCTATTTTCATGGATCTTTTTTTCCTCTCATCCTTATAGGATTCGTATTGCTGGGATAAGAGGTATTCAAGGTGTGGTTCGAAAAACAGTTAATGATGAACTTCGGGCTACCATTTGGGAACCACAGCATATGGACAAAATTGTTCCGTCCCTTCTGTTTAACATGCAGAAGATAGAAGAAGTTGACAGGTACTGTATAAAGATACTAAAGCTGGGGATGGAGAGATGGCTCAACAGTTAAGAGGGCATACTCTTCTTGCAAAGGACCTGAGTTCTGTTCTAAGCACCCATTTTGGCCAGCTTGCAGTTGTCTGTAACTACAGCTCCAGGGGGATCCATCATGGGCATCTGCATTCACGTGCACGTACCCATACACGCACACAGACAGCACACAGACATTTACATGTAATCAAAAATAAAAATCTTTTCAAAAAGATACTAATGGCTGTGTTGCATTGTATATCTATATATTCATGTGCTTGTTTGGATAAGAATGTTTGGTTTCTATCATTATATAAATGTAGTCTCATAATTTTGCATGAGTTTAAAAATATGTACCTTTCTCGAAATATATAAATTTGTAATGATCATATTAGCATTGGGAGTCACAGTTCCTTATTCATACACTTAGGACTTCATTCTCTATTAGAATACATTTAAACTCTGAGCTGGTGAGATGGTTCACAAGGTAAAGGTGCTTGTGACCAAAGCGGATGATCTGAGTTGAATCCCTGACATGCACATGTTAGAAGGAAAACTGACTCCCACAAGTTGTCCTCTGACTTCCACACTTATGCTGTAGCATGTACACGAACACATACCGGCAAGCACACTACCTAAATAAATGGGATAAATTTTTTAATGAACAAATTATTTGTTGGTTACTATTGGACATGTATATTAACTTTAATTAGTACTGCCTAAATTTAACCATGAGAATCAGAAATTATAGCTAAACTTCTATTGCTTCTTTCAGATCCGATATGCTTTCTCATATGGAGTCTAAAATAAAATAATAATAATAATTGCTATTAATTGTATTTTATTGAAAACAATTTTATACAATATATTTTGATCACAGTTTGCCCTCCCTCATCTCCTCCCAGGTCCTTCTTAATTCCCCACTCATGACCCCATGCTTTCTTTCTGTCTCTCTTTAGAAAACAGACAAACCAGAATAAAACAAAAGAAAACAAACATAAAACAAAAACAAAGAGAAAGCTTGTGGAACACATATACACTCAGAGAGACACAAACATGGGCGCGCACACACACACACACAAAAGCCATAAAAAACACAACATCAGAAACCATAATATATAAGCAAAGACCAGTAAGGTGAAAAATACGCAAATAGCAGGGTGGTAGTGGCAGCACACACATTAATTCCAGCATTCGGAGGCAGAGGCAGGTGGATCTCTGTGTTTGGGCCAGCTTGATCTACACAGAGAAACCCTGTCTCAAAAAACAAACAATGAAAAGAAAAACAAAACAATACCAAAAAAAAAAAAACAACTTAAGCATTATGAGACAAAAAAAAAATTCTTCAAAAGTATCATTGAGTTTTTTTTGTCTTGGCCATATACTCCTGGGCATGGGGCCTGCCCTTAAGTGTGGTTTTATACAAAAAGAGAAAAAGTTTTCCTTTGTGTGTTGTTGACACTTGGAGAGACAGCGTTTGTGTTAGGGATAGGGGCTATGTCCACTTGCCCCACTCAGCAGTGGGATGGAATCTGGTTTGATCTGCGTGTTGCCAAGGTCTCTGTGAATTCATATGTGTCATCAGCCCTGTTGTGTCTGTAAAACATCGTGTCCTTGGTGTCTTCCATCTGCACTGCTTCCTGAGCCCTGAGGGGAAGGGTTTGATGAAACATCCCATTTAGGACTAAGTATTTAGAGGTCTCTTACTCTCAGCATATTGCCCAGTTGTGGGTCTCCTTATTTGCCCCAACCGCTTTAGGGCTAAGCTTCTCTTACAGTGGCAAAGCAAACACTGATAATTTTTCAACCAAAAGCCAGGCACTATTGGTTTTTGATTGATAGCTCTAGATATTTGGGATGAAGTACTGGCTTTGGGTAATGCTGGTTTTCATTTGTCCCCCACAGTATTCAGATGCACTTGCCATTCTGAATGTTTTCTACATTTTTCTAAGTGCAAGAAGCATGCATCCCCCCATTTTGTTACTTATACAGGATGAATGTGTTACTGAGCAGCTAATACAGAATTAATTATCCAGGTTGGCTTGGTTCATCTTGGTTCTTGCACTTTGAAAAGTCTGAAACAGAATTTAATTTAAAAGTATTTTATCTTACAGTTACAAATAATAAAATGTCCTTATAACTTTCATGATCTATGCAAACCATTAAAATTGATTTAGAAATGAGGTATAAAATTCTGTGCTAACACAGATGGAATAATATGTATTCCAGTTGATGCCAACTGCAGGAAGGATTGATGCATAAGTTCCGGATGTGACTATCTCCAGCTTTGTAATTATCCCTGAAAGCGTAAAATGATATATTTTAGAATGTTATGTGGTTTTTTTCTACTTTTAGTGTTGTAACTAAGGCTTAAGATTTTCCTATCTGAAATATAAGAATCTTTACCTAGTTGGGGACCTATTTTTTCCACTGAGACCCAATGTTATCATAAGTAAGATACTAGAAACAAATTGATAATCATTGGCAAATGAAAATTTAGTTTCCTCCTAGTAAGTCTTATTGAGGAAACAAACCACTCTTAAAAGTAGGCCCTTAAAAGTAGATGGCCTCCCGAAAATGAGCTCAACAGCATTTTTGGAGGTTCCTTGTCGCATAACATGTCAGGACGCTTCCTTTTTTGAAAGTTTATTTTTTATTAATTTTGTCTTTAATATACACACACACACATTTCTCTCTTTTACCTTACAGGTCCTTTGCATATGCATTATGGCTCCTGTTTCGTGTTTTTATAGAATTCCTTAGTGGACAAACAAGTGGATCTCTGTTTTTTTTGCCTTCTCTGATTCTTTTTTTCTTCTATTTATTTTGTTCAATTCCAGTGTGTTTGTTTTTGTATTATCTTATTATATGTTATTTATTATCATCCCATAAAAGCTTATTTTATAATGAGAGACAGGAAAGGTGTGACTCCAGATAAGAGGGGAGGTAGGAGGAGCTGGAAGGAATACAGGGAGCGAAATATTATATGAGAAAAAAAAAACATTTTTAATAAAAGGGAAGAAAATATTGGAAATAGAGACTGGATACCAAACCATAAATTGTGTTTTTCTGGTGTAATTCCACTGCCACAGATGTATTTTTTTTATTTTTGTTGCAATAAATGTGTTGCCAAAAAGCATAATATCTCAAAATATGGACAAAGCAAATAACTTTTTACTGAAAATGTCTCTATATACAGCTATTCTAATTGGTTTAAATTTTTTCTTTTTTTACATGTGAGTTACATCATGGCTTTTCCATTCTTTTCATTTGTTCCCAGTTAAAGTTAAATAGAGGATGGCTAAAGATGTTTTTTCCAGACCTAGTGCTCACTAGGATTTGTATTGCTATGAATGTTGAGAAATTCTATGAAAATGAGCTGTTGAATTTTGTTGTTGCTTTTTTTTTTTTTTTTTTTTTTTTTTTTGAGGTAGGGTTTCACTCACTATGTAGCTCATGTTGCAGACTAAGTTGGTCTTGAACTTCCAAAGATCCTCCTGCTTCTGTCTGAGTGCTGGGATTAAAGGTGGGTACCACCACACCCAGTCTGAGTGTTTTATTGGCATAAAAGATATTCTTTCTAGCTGAATTTAGACACTCCTTTTGGAAGATTATATGCTTAACTCCTGTGATGCTAAGTTCATAAACATTAGAATTAAGCTTTAATATTAAAATTATTTGAGAGCAAAGAAAAATGTCTTTTTAACATTTCTGAGAAGTAAAGTGTTTTCTGTTTATCCTTTAGAACTAAAATAAGAATTGTGACTCTGACCTTTTTTATTTCTCTTTCAGTCGCGTAGGTCCGCCTTCCTCCCCCTCTGTAGCTGACAAAGAAGAGAACCCTGCAGTGCTGGCTGAGAGCTGTTTCAGAGAACTGCTGGGCAGAGCAACTTTCGGAAATATGAATAATGCTGTTAGGCCAGTTTTTGCGTGAGTTCTTCTATTTTCCTGGTTATCTGTGACTTTGCTATGTAGTAGTTGTATAAATTTCTTATGAAGGATAAAGACTTTCCAATTAAATTTTTTCACTTACCATACCAAATAATGGCTTTTTACATGTCAAGTAACATTGTGAAGGTAGCATTGGGCATTCTATTTTCCTTTTTTTTCCCTTTAAGTTTAAAGTACAGTATTAAATTTAATGTTGTGTACACATGTGCATTGAGAAATTAGACAGTGCCACCATGTGACACACATTGTTTCTCGCCCTCCCTCTTTTCTTCCTTCCTTCCTCCCCCCACCCCCCGCCCCAGTTCTAGAAACTGAACCTAGCACCTTCCTAGGAGCTATATCTCTGCCCCCAGCTTTTTTTTTTTTTTTTTTAACCTTGGCTGGGAGCTTTTGATTCTGTTCACTTTACTGAGTGAATTTTGTTAAGAATATTGCAAGCCCCACTGGTCCTTACATGATGTCTTCCAGGTTCTTTGAATAATCAGTATCTTGCAGGCAGGGCTTCCAGGTCTTGTGCTCCTTACTCCATCATTGGATGGTAGTGCAGTCTGCTATAATATCCTGTGTAATTGCTGGCCTCTTTAAAATTGAGCTTTCCTTTTTAAAGTTCACCATCATCTTCTTTTCTCCCTCTGATTATAATAATGGACTTAACATGTGCATGTATATTTTGTGTGTAACATGCGTAATTCTTAGGGCAGGTGTTTTTACTACATGTTCCAAGTTAACTTTTAAATGCAGGAATCATTAAGTGACAAAAATTTATTAAAAATCAAGAGTATCATCAGCTCATCAAAACAACGTGTGATCGTCTTTATCACAGTGGCCTTATGGATATGCTACTAAAAAGTAACCAAATTATGTTACCTACATTAAAAGGGAATTATTTTTACTTAAATCCAAATATTTAGGCTTAATAATAGAATTTGAGCTAGCTAGCCTGTAAGTCAGATTTTACCACATTATCTGTACTTGAACAATTTAAAGTAGGCTTGTGTCTCTCCGATTTAAATTAAAAAGGCTTTCACATAATATATTTTCATCATGCTTTTCCTTCTAGATCCTCTCCACCTTTGTACCCACCCAACTTTATGTTCTTTCTCTTTCTTTCAATACAAAGAAAAAAAGATAAGGAGGGAGGGGAAAAAAATCTCCCACAAACATCAAAACAATCTGAAGATGAGTAAGACCAAAAAAAGTACCCAAACAAAGCAAAACAGAACTAAAGGTCTACAAAAATACCACTGTTTGTTTTGTGCTAACCAGCTACTCCTGTGCATGGGTTCTGTTCTACAGTGTGGTTTGAGAGCCCCAGTGAGACTACATTGAAGAAAGCTACAAAGAGCTTCTTGGTTAAGGGTGGGCTCTCTGCCCACATCTCCCACCCAGTGCTGGGACCCTGTCTGGCTTGAACTTTTCCAGGTCTAGTACATGCTGCTGCTGCAGTCTCTGAGTTCATGTGTGCATTAATCCTGTTGTATCAGGAAGACATGATTTCCATGTGTCTAGAAGACAGTGTTTTTGGAGCTACCCATCACTTCTAGCTCCCAATAGCCTTTCTGCCTCCCCTTCTTCATAGATCTCTGAGCCCTGGGGGAAGTAGTATGATGAAGGTGGTGTCATCTATCACTTACAGCTTTAATAGCCTTTCTGCCTCATCTGGCAACCCTTGTGGAGGAGTAGTTTGATAAAGACTTCTCATTAGGACTGGATGCTCTAAAGTTTCTGATTTTCTGCATATTTTTCTGTCTGTGTCTCTGTGTTTATTCCCATGTACTGTAAGAAATTTCCTTGATGTGGATTGAGTAAGGCACTGATCTATAAGTACAGCAGCATGTCGCATAGCAAAATAATAGTAGTAGGTTTTCCCCCTAAGCCACATTAGCAATGTCAGGTATGGGTTCCATCTCACAGAATAGGACCTAAGTCTGGTCAAAGGTTTCTGGTGACTTCCATATTGTTAGTTGTGCCTCTTGTGCACCAGTAGATTTTGCAGGTAGCTCTCTATTGCAGGTCTCAAGGTTTGTAGCTAGGTGATAATGATGATTATCTTTTTCCTTTGATAACGTACAGAGTGCCTTGAATGCTAGTCAGTAGTGATGAAACTTTTAGTTAGATTCCATCTTGACTTTCTCCATATTCAATGATGTTGGCCTTTCCCTATCTAATAGCTATTTAATTAATTAACTGGATATTGTCTACAGTAAGGTACGGTGTAATTTGGAAATTTATGAAAAATATCACCAGATAGATGAAAGATATGCACAATAATTATAGATTATGAGAAAAGGTCAGAAAGTGATCTGTCATTTAAAAATAGGAAATTCATAGCTATCTTGAGTTTGGAGTAATGTTTTTTAAGTTAGATGTAGGTAAATATAAAAAACTACTTTGGTGATTTTATTTCCAAAGTATATTTTAGTTCCACCATTGAAATAGGCTTTTTATTTCAATTGTTACTTGATCCATAAAGAAAATAAAAGATTCCTTAAGAATTTGAAATAGCACATTTTCCTTCAACACTGATTACAAGACAGCTGGCATGCTGGATGCAGTGAAGGGGTTAATTGTGAAATGAGACGAGAAAGACTAAACACCAGAGAAATCCCAACATTTTAAGTCTTTAGATAATTATTGGCAATCTTAGCTGAAAGTTGTAAAATAGCAAGAATTGCCATTTGAAAATATTAATGGTCAATGTGCTAGTTGTTATAGGAATAAAGTCCTATATTAGAAGGTTTCAGGCCTGAGAGTCACGAACCACCATGAACACTTAGTATACTAACAATCAAAGTATACTGTTTAATCGCCCTTTGCACTACTGTATGGCCAAGCTTAGCAGTTAGAAATGTGTGCCATAGTTAGGAACGTGGAACCCTTGATTTTCGTTTAGAAAGTTTTCTGATTTTTATATTGTTGAAGGTTTTAAAAGAAGGTGTTATTAAAAGCCAAGAGTTCCTAATTCTAATTGTTATTTACAGGCATTTAGATCATCACAAGCTATGGGATCCTAATGAATTTGCAGTTCACTGCTTTAAGATTATAATGTATTCTATTCAGGTAAGATTTAATGAACTGCTTGTCTATTAAATAAGTAGTGATTATTCTGTGTAGATGTGCATAGCACCAAACAAGTGGAGAACTAGGATACAAAGCATGGTTTTTGTTTTGTCTTTGTTTTGTTTTGTTGGTTTTCTGAGGCAGGGTCTCATTCTGAGGCTCTGAGTATCCTAAAACTCACTATGTAGGCCAGGATAACCTCAAACTCAGAGATCAGCCTGCCTCTGCCTCCTAAGTGCTGGAATCAAAGGCCTACACCACTGTAGCTGGCACATGGCATGTTCTTATTTGTATTTTTCTCATTTACTGCTTGTTTTCTTACTTGCCAAGATGAAACATAAGAGGATTAGATAATTTTATTGTGGCACTTTTAGTGCAGTTATGTAACTCATATATTGTGTGCTTCTACTATACAGTTGAGCTGGCATTGGTTTTCCTTTGTTATAGCTTATGTTCTTTATAGAATCTTATGAGCACTGTCTTCTACAAAGGACCACCTTTGGTTTTTCTCACCTTAAAATCTGAAAATATTTGATTAGTTCTTAATTCAAATGTGATTTCATGTCTTCAGTTTTGATTCTTTCACTATGCATTCTTTTTAATATATTATACTATTTTTAGCTGATCCCTTGTAAGTAGGATGAACATGGGTCCTAATTTCCCTAAGAAAGCCTTAATGTGTATAGTTGTTAAAAACTTCCTCACCCTCAGTTACAGAAGTGTCCTGGTCAGCCAGTAAATTAAATACTTTTAAACAAGGTAGACTTAGCTGCATGTGCTTCATGTGGAGCATGAAGTTTCCCAGGTAAGAAGTTCAATTCTAGGTTGTGCTGGTAGTAATAGTACTAATGGTGTGTGTGTGTCTGTGTCTGTGTCTGTGTGTGTGTATGTATTGAATGTAGGCACATGTGTGCCATGGCATGCATGTAGAAGTCAGAGGACAACTCTCAATAATCAGTTCTCTCTCGCCTCTCTCCTCCTGCATGCATATATTTTCATCTCATGCATGCTCAATATCCAGAGAATCTAGAGGTAGACATCAGATCCATTACAAACAGTTGTGAGCTCCCATGTGAGTACTGGGAGCCATACTCTGAAAAAGAGCAGCCAGTGCACTTAATCCCCGAGCCATATTTTAAAACACCCCTGCTCCCATTACCAACAACAACTTAAATACAGTATTTGGTAATTTGCTTTCTTTACTCAAGATGTCATAAATAGTTTCCAATATCACTGTTCTTTAAAGCAATGATTTTTTGGGGGGGCGGGGGCGAGCTACATATTATAAATATCAGTTCTCTATAATGAATACGATGTACCTTTTCATTCTTACAGATATGTCATGTACATTTATTTGCTCACACATCTTTGTGCTATTTGCTTCCCTTAGGCTCAGTATTCTCACCATGTGATCCAGGAAATTCTTGGACACCTTGACTCTTGTAAGAAAGATTCTCCACGGGTTCGAGCAGGTATCATTCAGGTTCTGTTGGAGGCTGTCGCTATTGCTGCTAAAGGTTCTATAGGTGAGTATCAATAAAACACAAAAGGAATGCATTAATAATATGAAGTGTTTTCCCAGTAATTGTCTATGAAGCACCCTTTAAGATTTCTCTACATATTTTCAAATTTTCTGTAGTTTGAGCGTATATAATCAGTTTTTCCTTTTTTTCCTCCCCTTTTTCATTTCCTTTCTCTTATCCTTCTTTTACAAAGGGTTTAAAATATGATTTATATACTGAACATTGGGTGAATACAGATTTCAAAAGTGATATAAATTGAACAATTGAACATTCTTTTTTTTTTAAATGTCGCTAAGTATTCAACTAAGGGCTGTGCACGTCCTAGATAAGTGTACTGCTACTGAGTCACATCCTAGCTGTCTTTATCGTTTTTGAGATGACATTTTACTAAACATTCCAGGCTGGCCTTCATCTCATTATGTTGCTTATGTAGGCCTTCAACTTGAAACTTTCCTGCCTCAGCCTCTGGAGTAGCTGAGCTTTCAGGACCACACTACTACACCTGATTCAGGTTCAGATTTCCTAGTCCGAAAGTCCAAAATCTAAAATGCTTCAATGTTGAAATATTCTCAGTGCTGACATGTCTTGGAAGTGGACTCCACTTGTTTTAATGTAGGAACACTAAAAACCTCTTACCATCTTTGTGAATAAGAAGTATAGGAAGCACTGATGAATTTGGTGTTTGTATTTGAATACTGCCCATAAACTATTTTTGTATACATAGTTATTACCAACACACACAGAAACATATACACATGTGTGCAAACATTACAACAGACATTACTGCAAATAATACCAAACATTTGTGACCACAGCCATTTTGACGAAGGGCTTCTTCCACATTTAGTTTATGTAGACAATTCTGCATGATTCTCAGTTATAAAGAGACTTTGATCACATGTAGCCTGAGACAACCAGGAATTAAAAAACTGCAGAAATGTAGATTAGCAAAAGCAGAATACTATGAGGCCCATTTTGCTAGAATGTGTGGGAGAAACGAAAGAAGTATCTTTAAAGTTACAGTGCAAGCAAGTCATTCTGCAGTTCATGGAAGCTTCAAAGACTGAGTAGAGATGTACTGCAGTGTAGAACTGGCTGGGAAGAATTGCTGTCATTGTCTTAAGTGTGATGGAAAAACCCGACCTTGGGCAGCATGCCTGGGAAGCTGGTAGATTGTAGCAGGTAGCAAAGGGAAAAGAACAAGCCCAGTATCTTGCTGTTTCATGCACATGTGGTTAGGGAAATGAGGGAATATGATAGAGATACAGGGGCCAAAAGTACAAAACAGATGAGTCACCAAAATGTCTGGATTATATAGGGAAGAGTCTTTTGGGGGAAGGGCAGCCCATCCCCTGGGCTGGAGAGGTCAGGGTAGAGGGTGGGATATGCTAATCATACCCTGAAACAGATAGGGACTGAGAGATGCTGGGAGAGCCTGGCAACCAGGTCTTTTTCAGTAAGTTAAATAGGTACCTCAGCCATTGGTCTTGGGTTTGAAACTGACAGGTAGAAAGATTGGGATAGTTTATTATGCAGGTTGTACCAAAGCCAAACAGCAGGTTCCTCATAGATACCCAAAATATGCTTGTACTGTGACTGTGAGACCTTATTGTTTAGTTATACAACTTAAAGAAAAATGAACTGGATAGCTCATAAATTATTAGGTACTGTTAACAGGAAAAGAAAGTAACTATAAAGTTTGTTTGGAATTTTGAGAGCTGTTCTTGAGATTACATCCTCACAAAGATGGTCTTTCACAGGGCCAACGGTGCTGGAAGTCTTCAACACCCTGTTGAAACACCTGCGACTCAGTGTGGAGCTGGAAGCCAATGACAGCCAGCAGGGGTCTGTGGGCAGCATCCCCTTAAGTTCCAAGGACAATGATGAGAAGATTGTGCAGAATGCTATCATTCAGACAATAGGTTCGTGTGTTGGTCTGCAAGCCACTGTATGGTGATATGGAAAATGCTCTTGAATAAGCTGTTTGGCTTGGGTAGTGCACTTGCCAAAGTGGAGTGATGGTCTAGACCTCTGAAAATTGTGTTTGAAGGAAATAAATATAAGAATACAGTTCTTACCTGTTTACATTGATTGTCCACATTTTATGCAGTTCTTTGATTTGTTTTGGTCTTCTCCCCCATCTCTTTATGTACACAAGTTTGTACATGAATATGTATAACTATATGTGTATAAAAGAAGAGAATATTCATATACATGCTTTTAAAAATAAATTGACTGGGCATAGTAAGTGTATATGTCATGTTTTTTTTACTACTAAATTCTTTTTTTTATTGAAAAAAATTTTTATACAGTATATTCTGATCATCAGAAAAAACAGGTTCAATTCCCAGCACCCACATGGAGACTAACAACCATATGTAACTTTAAATGCCCTTCTTAGTAGGATCAAAAACCCATTGCCATTGTTCTTGAGGTCTCAGTAGTCCTCATTGTCCGCTATGTTCAGCGAGATCGGTTTTAACCCAGGCCTTTTCAAACCCAGGCCAGCTGGCCTTGGTGAGTTCCCCATAGAACATCCCCATTGTCTCAGTGTGTGGGTGCACCCCTCGCAGTCCTGAGTTCCTTGCTCGTGCTCTCTCTCCTTCTGCTCCTGATTTGGACCTTGAGATTTCAGTCCGGTGCTCCAATGTGGGTCTCTGTCTCTGTCTCCTTTCATCGCCTGATGAAGGTTAATATTCAGGAGGATGCCTATATGTTTTTCTTTGGGTTCTCCTT